ATTTTTTGCTCACTGGTTGGAAAAGCTCAGTTAAGGGCGCTTTTCCACGGCACAAAGTACGGTACTTTCACTTTTACATTGACTTCCAGTCGAGTACCAGTACCGAAATCTCGAGTACCGAAAGTGCCAAACCAGTTGGGGTACTTCTTTGGTACTTTGGGGTGGGACTTGCAAACGTATTTGCTGTCGATTTGGTTACAAATAGCCTGCCGCTGAAACACAAAATACAACCGCCATCTTTTGAAACACACAGCGAACAGAGTGATCACAGCGGGAACAAAATAAAAAGTAGTAGAAACGGAAATGGAAGGATGGACAAACGAGGAAACACAGGCTTTAATCGCCATATGGTCGGATGAACAGATCCAGTGGGATTTGGATGGCACGACTCGAAATAAAAAAGTTTTTGCTGTCCAGGCAATTCAGTTTCCCTGTTTCCCCTGTTGCGCACTGATTTGTACACGGTATCGCTGTTGTTTTCATGTCTTTTTACGAAGCTCTTGAGGTAAACAAGTGATATATTAATTTTAAAGCATCACATGCCTTTTCTATGTTTTTTGTTTTTACAGATAATAAATTAAATTATTTAATTCGCTGGATAGAGATATTTCTTGATGAAAACGGTATAGTATTGCTTATAAGACTATATTATGCGTGACGATCTACTGTATTCACATGTAATAATCTACCTGAGTGATTTTCAGACATTTCACATACCTCTTTGCTTTAATATTAGGGGAAACATAGGGAAACTGAATTGCCCGGAACCCCGTAATACCAAGCCGCTTGGAAGAAATGGGGCACACGCGAAACACCGAACAATGCTGCTTGAAAATCAAAAAACATAATTAAATGATTTGTTTGCTTTCAAAAGACTGAATTAGCAGTAAGCTAATTCTTACTGCTTTGATCGGCTTAGCAAAAGTAAGTGTACCTACGTAAACGTAATTGATGGCAGCATTATTTGGATTTTACTGAACCTTATACTGTGATAAGAACATAAGAAATTTACAAACGAGAGGAGGCCATTCGGCCCATCAAGCTCGTTTGGGGAGAACTTAACTAATAGCTCAGAGT